ACGAAGCTATCCTAGATCGTAACGAGCATCGCTGTTGTCCACAGTATTTGACTGCGAGTTACCGGCTTGTGATAATAATCTTGGTATCATCTCTGCGTGCGCATCGAGACGACTGACTTCAGATTGTGAACATGTCTTGCATTCCTTTGCATAGCAAATTTTTTTGCACATGGTTCAGTGTTCCACATCATCTTGTACATCACACAAAGAAAGACGTTCTTGGCTACTTCCACGAACCAAGCATATCTGTGTGTGTGTGTGTGTTTTGTTGGAAAGAGCAAACGCCACTACAACGTCCTGGAATTTTGGCATGAAGCCCTCCATTTACCACTGGTGTCATCCCTAACAGTGTGATGAGCACATAGGAATCTCCCGCAATGAAGGTATGATTCTACATTTGTTTATGTATGGAATCACCGACTTAGAGCGTGTGCACCCCATAGCACTAAATAGGAAGCATGGATGCAGACAGTGGGTTTACGTTGAGCCGCCGCAAGAGCTGTTGCCGAGAAAGCAGACCATTGATTTGCTCGGTGCTGCCCAGAGAGGTTAGAAAATGCACGGACGGAGACATAACATAGCGCGCACGACTGTTCTGGTTGCATTGACAATAATCTGAGGCCAGTTGTATTGATTTTCTCCGTGTTGGTGTGTTGTACACACACGGCCGCGTTGACGGCCTCCAGGCCTACTGCACAATGACAGTGAAGTTCATGTAGTAGACGTTTGCACAATTGAAGCCCAAACGCGCCCATAACGTGAATCAACCCCCATTGTTGCTCGCAATGTGCTGCAGGCTCTCGGGGCCGTTCTCGTAAGATGTCTCAGGAACCCCACAAAGCAAGCTTGGAGTAGAAGATTACCGAACTTAAACGACATCAGCCCAGAAGTTTCGAGATACTGTTGGTGTGTTTGCTTGCGGACATGTAGCAGGGTTCGCGTAACTCAAGCAGTCGTACAACGACAAGCCACATGGCCACGGATCTGGTCGACTGGATCAGCAGCTTGAATGGTCATTCTTGCGGATAACGTCGTCGCATGTCACACACATGCCTGAGTGAGTTTGTTAGTTAGCTGCCAAAATCACTCACCATGAACAAGGTCGACAAGCTCAGATTGGCGGTGATGCTCGTCAGGGCTTGATCCGGGCAGCACGGAGGAGCTTGCCTTAAATGCATCCTAGGTTGTTGTAGCATTGTAGCTCTTGATGTTGGCAGTGTTCCCAAGTCAAGTTCATGTCCACATGAACACAAGTTGTTCTGCAATTTTCAACGCTTTGCATGCCCCAGCGGCTGCCAACGGCAAATGTGTTTAAGCACGTGCGAGCGCGTGACAACCCTGACCCTGACCTGTGTGGTGGCATTGTGCGGAGGCATCGCTGGGAAATGCAAACGTTTGCGGCCATGGGCTGAGATCTGGAAAGTAGGACGACTGGGAGTGCAGTCTTGGTTTTGTGGCTCTCAGATGCCTGGTTCGTTATGTGAGCAAGTATGCATGGGCTGTCGTGCAAGAGGTGCCAAGACACAAAATTAGATGTTTTGCTCGGTATGGTTTAAGCACGCTTGTTACTTTGCCAACCCTCATTTTTATCATGTACGTGTTCATTTCCTGAATGATGCCATGGCTGAGGGGCAGGCTGGTTCGAACGTGGAGACCCTTGTCCAACGCCACGAAAATCGGCAGGTTTTGCTGCAAAGGCTAAATGCTTTGCGGCAGCAAGTTCGGACCCTTGAGCAGTAGGTTTCCGATATTGAGTGTGTCGTGCATGGACTGCCTTATGCACCTGCCTACCGGGCCTCTGCACACGGCCGAGACACAGCTCTGCAGCATTTCCACGTGGCTGCCACTGCAGGCGCGGCAAGAAAACGCAAATGGGTGAAACATGAGATGCTGAACTGACATGCGCATGGCCGTGCAGTGTTCCACAATTGGAGAAGTACTTCAGTTCGATTCATCATGGAGGGATACCTTGCTCCGCACAAATCTTACAAGTCTTGCTGTCGTGGACAGTCTTCAATCTCATGGGTCTGCTTCAGGATTATAATATTTCCCTATTTTGTCTCTAGACGCCTCATCCGCACCAATTGATGTGTCAAGAACCTGAATATTTACCAACTTTCTCCCGAGGTGCAGGTGGGATTGCACTGCCTCTGGCTGTTGGCATTGTGCATCCGTTGGACACAGTTCGCACCACCATGCAAGCCGCAGTTGCTTGTCGTTTATTGGTTAGGAGTTAGGGTCGCTTCGGGTTTAAATCACAGCTAGCAGATGGCAAGCAGATGTTTTCATTTGTTTTCTGTTTTCTTGTGCGGAGGCTTCCAGCTCCGGCTTCACGCACTCACTCCGCAGCCTTGGGTGGCGCGGCCTCAGTCGCGGCTTCGTGCTGAGCCTGGCTTGGGCGTGTCCGCAAGGCGCCATACGCATGGCCAGCTACGAAGCGTGCAAGGAGACCCTCTTGGACAAATTCTCTTTCAGGCCTTTTGGGATTGCTGTTTCTGCTGTCTCTGCAGACTTTGCGAGCAGCGTGGTGAAGGTGCCGCGGGAGTTGATCACGCAACGAATGCAGACTGGTCAGTACAAGTCCAGCTGGCAGGCCGTACGCGGCATCTTTCGGGAAGGTGGCGTTACAGGCTTCTTCCGAGGATACGCTTCTACTGCTTCTCGCGATACTCCGTTCATGCTGCTGCTCTTCCTCTCCTACGAGCAGTTCAAGTCTTGGAAGATTCGTCTCACTTACTCGCAGCAGGGGCCCGCTGAAATCTTCGCCCCGTGGTCCGATGCAGAGACCGTGACTTGAGAGTTGAAGTCAGAAAATTCACAGGATTTGGGGTTTATTTGGTTCGTTGGGCTGCTCGCTTCCCCAATCTTTAAGCCTCGGTTGGGCAATTTTTTGTTTTCACTAGGTCACATGTCCGTGAGGTTCTTTGGGGGGGCATCTCTGGCACTCTTGCAGCTTGGTTGACCACTCCCTTCGATGTCATCAAGACGCGGATCATGACCTCCAAGAGTCCCCTCTCCTTCCACGAGGCTTTGAGAGATGTGAGAGCCATCGGGCCCACGGGGCTCTTCCGTGGAGCCGGGCCTAGAAGTGCCTGGTGGTTCTGCGTAAGTTCTGTGTTTTTTGCGAGCTACGAGCGGTTGAGAGCTGTTCTGCAGCAGCACGTGGACCCGGGCTGAGAGAAAAGAGGGAACTGCTGGTCCAAAAAGTCCTTTCTGCTTATCTTCCACCACTTGTAGATGTGTGCATCTGTACCGTGTGAAGGGTTTGCGGCCACTTAAGGAGATGATCTGTGGTGAGCCGCAGAGGAATGCTGACCTCGTTGAGAGCTGCAGCCCCAATGAGGCGCGAGGAATGTGGCCATGCATTTCAGCTTTCAATCAAGGATGACTGCAACGCAGGCTACCCCATTATTGCTGTTTGCAATGTTGCTTGCCCTTGCAGATTGCGGTCCTCATCCGTGCCTGGCGCCTCGACTTTGGGGTGCCCTCGCCACGGCGGATGGCGCACAGGAGCGGATCTGGAGACATCCGTGGGCATCCATTCAGTTCATTTCAGTTCTGCATCTTCCTGCATCCATCGTCTCCAGCAGGTCGGACAACCAAGAGCACTTGCAGGCGGGAAGCGCTCGCATGGCACCTCCATGCAAGCAACGCAACATACCTCAGGAGAGGCAGCACTACGTTGGTGGACGCGAGCACATGTATATGCCTGGCGCTGGGAGATGTGCAATATGGCAATCTCCCCACCTGCAAGACCTCGGTAGCCAATAGAGTCTGAATAGAGCCTCATAGAGCCTCATCAGCACATTTCAGCACCTCAAAAAGCCGCGCGCTAGGTTGGATGGTTATCTCGCAGCTGTTGACGAGAAATTTGAGGCACCAGAACAGCAGATTGCTCAACTGATGGACACTCGGCTTGTTTGCCTTCTGCGTGCTTCCTTCATCTTCCTCCTCCCGAGGGATTCATCAGTATGCGCATTCTGGTCACATGATCCAGCTCATGTTGCATTCCGTGTGTGGTTTCTTGACGGCAGAATCGCCGCCTCAACACAACGCCCCCCTACGGGCAACGGCCTGGCCCGCGAGAAGTCGGGACCTTTTGCCTGCTGTGTGACAGGCTGTGTGACATTTGCGTTGCAGGAAGTTGGCAGACCTGGATCAACACATGAGAAAACTATTGTCGTGCATGCTCCAATCACACAGTCTTGGACATGCTATGACATTTGATTGCAACTTTTGCTAGTGCATACCAGTTCCAGGTAGAGAGCTGAAGTGTGCGTGAATGTCGTGCAAAGTAGACACTGCAGAGCACCTGTTTCCTGTTTCAAAGCGGTAGCAGGATAAGTGCTGACGCCAGGACATGGAATCAGTATGAACTGGGTTAGTGTATGCATCTGCTGGTGGTTTTGGTAGTGTCCCAGTGATGAACGGACCAACCTGAGTGGCATCATGCCGTCAATGGCTGCGGCCATGACAGAGGCCGGAGAGCTCGCGAGTCTCCAGAGTTTGCCTGCCTTTTCAGTAGTGTTCGGTGGTTCAAGATTTCGCGCTCTTGGCTGCAGGCTGGATCCTGGGATAGCAGCTGGATGCTTGGCCTTGTACATGACGACATTGATACCTCAAGGATGCTACCATTTGCCTGAAGCTCCTGTTGGCTTGATGACTACCAAGGAAAAGCCCAGAACAGATGCGCGATCCCGTGACCCCAGAGGCCAAAGAGTCCTTCGGGAATGTTGGCGGGCTTAAGGACTGAGCAGGTGATGGTTAGTGGCAAGATGGCATTGGCAGTACAGGCGCGCTGTCTTCGGCATTGAAGTGTGCAGGACATGAAAAGAACAGCCATGGGGGGAGCGCTTGGCCTTCACAAGAACAAGCCAGATGAGGGCTTCATGCGAGCTGCAATGGCTGCGAGTGAGACTTGTCTTGGTATGTCTGGGCTTGAAGGAGTTCGCTGTAAGTGGAGATTGTGGCTCTGTTTGCAAGAATCTTTGCAGCTTCCTGGCGCTTTAAATTGGTAGAGATGCCTTTGCTGCTGCATCTCATCAGGAGTTTCCAAAGTACTTCCACCACACTAATTCGCACCGAATCGGTGGAACACATCGCCGCGGGCAGCCTGGCATAGCCTGGAAAGCCTCCGCGTGCTTGCTCGTGGGCAGGTTCGAGGCGTGCAGGCAGATCAATTCAGCGACATAGTGTCTCTCTCTGACTCAAGGTACTTGCCAATGACGTCTGCCCAGGCAATAGCTATTTCGAGGCAAAGTTTGGGAAGTAGGTGTGATCAGAGCTGGAGTGCTTAGTGAACCGCAACACCCGTGGGGAAAGAGCATGAAAGGTTGCAGGCCCAGATCGGCTGTTGAGAATTTCCTCGCCCTAAACTCTGAACCCTAAACCCTAAACCCTAAACCCTAAACCTTAAACCCTAAACCCTAAACCCTAAACCCTAAACCCTACACCCTAAACCCTAAACCCTAAACCCTAAACCCTAAACCCCAAACCCTAAACCCTAAACCCTGACCCTAAAACCTAAGCCCTACGCCCTAACCTGAACCCCAAACCCTAAACCCAAAACCCTCAACCCTAGACCCCGAATAAAGAAGACGCAAATCTCGTCCTTGTGGCAGGAGCGACAGGGCGCCTCGGATTCGCATGGCAGGGAGAGCTTTAGGGTTTGGGGCCTAGGGTTTAGGGTTGAAGGTTTACGGCTCCATGTTTCAAGGAACTTGATCCAGGAAGTTGTATTCCCAGCTGCTGAAGCCATGTGTGCACTTTAGTTTCGAGTCACCTCTGGTTTTGCTGCAGTTCGCCGGATGTCCTTTTTAGGTACTGGCTTTAGCATGTGAACTTGCTGAAAGTGCAAGATGTCTGATGCTGTAGTGTGGGCAGCAGGTGCCATGCGCTGTCCCATGGCTGGAAGGAAGATACCATACGTGCCTTGTATGCAAATACTAGCGCAATAGCACTTTCAGACGCGTGAAATGTCAAGATCAAATGGTCTGTTGAGAGTTTCAAGCTGCATAACAGGGCAATCGCCTTGACTTCACCCGGCCGTTAACCTGACAGGGATTCTCAGTGCGCAGTCCATGGGTTCGTGGTTTCGCAACGATTGCAATCTGTTGGTGCATCGCGCTAGTTTCTTCAGTTTCGCGCATGACTTGCTGCGATCGCGTTTGGGAGCCGACGGATTTAGATTTTGCTCCGCTGTCAGAAAACTGTTGTAGAAACATCAAGAGCGACGTCATCTATTGTTCGAGTTCGTGATGCATTCCAGAACCTTCCAGAAACCTCAGCCGTGAAATTCTCCCTTCCAGCAAGTCGAAGTATATGCATGAGTCCTTGTGATGACTGCTTGAAGTGCTAGAAGGCTGAAGCAGCTTCTCGCGCAGACGCAGTTGGTGGCTTCAGTGGAGGATCCATACAGGCGTCCAAACAGCTGCAATCTAGATGGATCTGGCCATGGTTTGCCAGCGTGGAAGCTGAACTAAGAGCCGTGTTGTTTGACACTGTAGGAACCATCCTGTGGGATGGGTTCTGTTGTTACTTCCAGCTGTTTTATACTCTTGACCACAGCAGTTTCAGCCATTGAGGTCATCGATATGCTTGTGAAATTGCGAGTGCAATACAGAACCAGCAGATTTTGTGCTATCTTGCAAAAGAGAACACAACTGTTTTGCACGATTGCTAGTCCGGCAGGTTTGCAGAGCTGGTTCGAGCAGAGGAGCTGTCAAATTTCTTGAACCGTTCCGACAATTCCGTCATCTCGCGGGAGGAAATCTCCAAGACTCTTGGGCTGTATAGGTCCACCATGGTCCACCAGTGGAAGGTTCAAAGTTATATGTTTAAACCCAACATTCCACAGCTTCCAGGTTGGGAGAAGCCCTGGCCGCGACTCTAAATGCAGGTGGCGTGCACGCTACACGTAGCACAAGTGCTTGTCATGTGGTGCTCGGTGTTGCAGTTGGCATTCCTGTTTCGCTCTTTCGGTCTCAGCCATGCCGAGAGGACGTGGAGCCCGCACAGACTACACTGCACCACTGAAGCACTCTGAGGAGAAGGCTCCTGCTTGTCAGTCGATGTTGTTTGCAGGTGGAGTTGGTGATCGCTCGTGAGATCACTGTTTCCGGCGAGTCGTAGTTTCATCGGAACCCTTAGCCACCCCAGGGAAATCATCGAAGCAAAAGCGCCCCGCAGCAAGAAATTCTCCTTCTCCCCCCCCGAAAGGTAATGGACAAGGGAAGAATTCAGTGAAGCTGTGTGCAGGTGTCGCTGGCCCTCTCTGATGGCATCGGCATGACTCAGCAGGTACAGTGTCCCGCATGCATTGCATGTCGCCTTGACAACTCGACGTGTGCAGGCCATGAATGATGTGGTGGACACTCGGATGCACACTAATGTCATCAAATGTCAAGATGCCATTGGTCCTGCCTTTGAGCTTCCCTAGGGCTGCTTGCTGCTCAGGCATACGCATTTCGCTGTCGCGCCACCACATTCTTGATGCTTTGACAATCGCATCTGCGAAAGTTGTTAATGCGCCATGCGGACGCAAGTCGCTCGCGTGAGAGCTTGTAAGCCTTGGGAAGAAGGGGTTTTGTGCTAACATGTGCTTGCTGCTAGGATCGCAAGAAAATTCAAGTTTGGAGTCTGGCTTGCACCTGCATGGGAGTTGGTAATGGCCGCGGAGCATCAGCTGGAGCAGTATCCGTTCAAGTTTCTTCGTCAAGACTGCCCTGTGTTGCACAAATGGTGTTGTTCATGTGTCTAGATCTCTTAGACTGCTCTCGGTGATGCTGCCATGCATACTTCCCTCTGCGCTGGTGTCAAAAAACCAGATACAAGCACATGGTCATGTATAGTCATGCGGTTATCAAGGGACAGCTTGCACATTAGGCTTGGCCAGACGACAATCGCTACCATCGACAGGACGATCAGAGGCAAAGACGTGCAGAACAGCATTGCAACGCACAAGGTGCAGATCAATCTGTTCTGCCTTTGCAGGCCAGTGGTGGTTCGCAGTGACTGGAGCGAGAAGGCCTTTGGCACGTCGGTCACAAGACGAAGGGCTTCTCAAGAGCTCTTTGACGGCAAGTGTCACCAGTGTCCGACTCGATGAGGCATCGAAGCGCTGCCCAGCCTGCGGCAACACTTTCATGCCCTTCGGCATTCGTCCTGTTCACTGTTTTCTTCGTTTTTAAGCGCTTGTAGATCCTTGTAGCGCTTGAAAGAAGTCTAAGAAGATCTCAGAAGAGCAGTTATCTAGTCCTGTCCTGGAGGGAAGATTCACGCTTTTGCCGGAGCTGTGGTCGACCACGATACGGCAGTCCTGTCGAGGCACGGACCTTTGCACCTTCGTCTCTGAAGCATTTTCTTCGGCTTGGCGGCTTTGCCTATGGCTATGCCTCTGGCTGGTAAGGTTGCTGCATCCCCTGGGAAAGCAGTGCTGGATGAAGGAGCTTGAGAAATGTCTCTGTTTTGATTCAGGCAGAAGCGCGTAGCAGACTTGACATCCAAGATATTGTGTTTTCGCTCATGCCTTCAGGAGCTACGCCAGAGGCTTCCCCCAGCTACTTGAGCCCAGCTGAGAAGGTCCAGGAGCGGTCAAAGTGTGTTGCTCCGGCTTGTCTGTGCTCTTCTCGTTCCGGAAGTGCCTCAGAAAGGAGCCCCTTGCAGCGCCACTTACAACGCCCCTTGCAGCTCGCAAGGCCAGTGGTGGGAGGGAGCTGCAGTGACACACCAGTGCAGTTGATGACTTCGTGATTCGTCGCATTGACGGTTGCATCGGACACTGTTTGCAGTCAGATGCAGGAGCTGCGATTTGAGGCTGCGAAGCAAGACAAAGTTGTTGTCAGCCCGATTGGTTTCTACCCAGATGCTCGGGCCTTAGGTTGGTCACATGTCTGGTACTTCTCGGCTTTTTCGACACACACGACAAATTTCGCCGGCTTTGATCTGTGCAGGAACCTTCCTCAGCTTGTGCACTTGCAGTGGCGGTGGATGGGTCTGCTGTTTTCGTGGTGGATCGAGGCCCGCATGTCCAGGGCTTGAGACAGAACTGTTGAAAATCAAGTACGGGCTCAATAGCAGAAAGGGAGCGACGGCTCCACATCCTTGTAATCAACCAGGAGTTGGTCGTCGTACAAGTCAGGTACGGTAGTGCAGGGAGTCGAGCTGTTGTAGCTCCTGAGCCAGCCCCTTCTTTAAAATCCACCTCGCAGCCGAGACGGGTGCGTGGACCCCTTCCCCCTTTTCACAACAGTGGCCGTGCTACATAAGAGGGCCTACTGTACTGTGAGGCAGCAGGCTTCTGCTGATGCCGTGTAGAAAGGCACAAGGCGCCAAGACTTCACTTCTATTCCTGAGGGCGGCGCAAGACAACCAAACCAACCACGCGGAAACCGACCACTCGGTCGACCGTGGGGCAGGCCGCAACCCCAGACACTACGACGGGTGCTCCCGAGCGCAGCCAAATCCGGAATCCGCGGGAAGAAGACGCAGCCACGCTCGTCAACCCCCCCGATCCGGTGGTTTCCTGTTATGCATTCCCGTGCCATGTGCGCTTTGGACATCCAATCGCATTACGGCAAGAAGACGTATATGAAGCGAATTCCTACATGTCTGAAAGCTTGTTAGGGTGTTTTCAGGCTTTGCAGTTGGGGTCTGTTGGGGCAGAACGCTCTCGTACATGGGGGTGCGCCTAAACTATGGGCTGCGTGCGGAGCCGTGCTGTTCATCATTACAATGACGGTCTTGACGCAAGCTTTTTTCCAGTCTTACGCATTGAGCCAATGCATGGCATCATGGACTATCGGCCAAAGGTTGAGCAGCAGAAGGTTTGAAGTCCTCAGTTCCCATCCCCCAGTCATCCGTCGACTCATGGGAAAGGTGGCCTGATGCGCTTTGATCTGCCAGACTTGCACCTGGGCCGCAGACTGTTTGAAGCCCACATGACGGTCGTCTGACGGTCGCTGTCCCGGAGGCGGCTCACGGCCTCTGCAGCCTACACAGGAGCAGAGCACAGTTGCAGCACAGGGGGTTCAGCTGTCGCGATGCTGAGATTGCCTGTCTAGTTCTGAGCAGCAAGGCGATGCGGACCCTCCTGGTTATGCTGATGTGGTTGCAGGCATATGCAGCCAGGTCATGACCAGCAGAATCATTTTTGCCCTCTTGCGGCTTCTCCAGGCATAGACTTTGTCGTGTGCGCCGACGTGGATGGAAACCTGCACCGTCACGACGCAGTGACGTTCCTGGGACATCCAAAAGGTTGGTGCAAGAGCAAAACAAGGGCACAAAGAGCAAAGCGCTTGAGGAAATGTATGACATGTCGGGGCCTGTGAGTGGCCGCCGGAGTGTACTCAGGTGTGAGCTTCAGCTGAAGCGCTCCTATCAGCCGTCCGTTGTCGAGCACTCGAAGGTGCCAGCTTGAATCAACTTGGGTCGTAGATTGCCGTAGACTCTTACCCAGTCAGCTTTTCCTGAAGTCTCCAAGGCCAAGATGGCAAAATATGTGTGATTCATGTGAGCGTACCTTTTAGAATCACTGTTGTCAGCTTGGGTCGAAGCTCGCCCTCTGCTGCAGCGCGTCATCGCATCCCAGCTGGAGCGCTACAGCAGCGCTGTGACTGGCTTGGAGGGTGGGTGTTGCCGGCAGAACTTTCAACAGGAAAGCAGGACTTGAACGACCCCTGTGTTTTACATTCACAGTAGACATGGACCTGGGGGACTCTTGTTGTTGGGGAGATGGATCGGGGAGCCAGGACAGCAGGTTCGGAGTTCATGGTCCTTTTCAGCTTGGGACATTCGGTTTTCAACTCATGGCTGTCTGCTTTTGATAGCAGTGGCCGAGTATCCAGCAGGGTTTACAGACTTGAGAGGCCAGCACCTGGGCCTTCTAGATTGCTCACCTCCAGAACGGTTCATCTTAACTTCCATGATAATTGTGGTTGCAACAGCAACAGTGCTTGGTATGCTTGTGCTGATGTTCGTGACAGGTTTGGCGGAGCATCCCGCCTGGCCATTGGTGACGAGACGGTGTATTTGGGAGGCCACGTATGAGTTGCTGCTGCAGCAAGTGCGTGCGCACGTCAAGCCTATCCACACTCCAGGTCGGGACGGAGTGGTGACAGCCTATGCTGCAGGCGCACCGTGACCGAGCATGTTTCCATAAGGGCAGGTGCAGGTTAGGCAAGTGAAGATAGTGAAGGAAATACTGCTCCTTCACATCTGCAACCGACCGAGCTGGCTTGCCTCATGATGTCACGTGCTGTGATGTGAAGGCTCGCTCACGCTCCGAGCTCGCTGTCGGCTTCTGGAGTGCACCTGTTGCTAAGAGCACTGCAAAGCTAATCTGCCTAAAATGTGTTGCGAAGAATGTCTACTCAGATGGAGAAAGCTCAAGCAAATGTGAGGAGGGTCCAAGCTCTGCGATCATTGGTGTTCGGGCTTTGCCAAAGCCTGAGCTATGTGCCACAGTTCTATCATGATGTTAGGCAAGCTGACTTCTACAAGCGATGTGCCTTAGGACTTTGCTGTCAGCAGTCAGGTGCCTTTCGCCTTACAAGCGACTCTACTGTGCTGTCCAGTCCTCCGTGCATGTGCTGACGTTACCAGGCATGAGCCAGGCCCAGCCTGCATGTGCACATGTTCACTTTTGTTTTTCTCAAAGGTTTTTTCGGGAAAAATCTTGTCAGCTGAATAGGGCACCAAGCTTGACCAACCGGGAAAAGGGATTTCGTATTGGTTGTTGAAACGGGAGACCTGAAGCTTTTGACTAAAGCAGATCTTTCCGGGATTTCTGCTCTCAAGACGCTCAATTTGTGCCCCAGCCTCTGCCAAGACTTCTTCTGTTCTGGATTGTTGGATTTTACGGACACTGGCGTGCAGAAGCTTGAGGGCAACCGAGTCAAAAGGTTTCTCAGTTGGTGGCCCCTGTCCGCTGACAAGTTTTCAATGGGCTGCGCAAGCTCCATCTGGTCAAGCGGCTCGAAGCTCGAGGCTTTTCAAGGCTTCCGGCAAAGATTTCACTGTTGGCCGGGCTCCGCCTGGCCAAGGACTCGTAGAACAGTAGGCATGAGAAGATGTTTGCCAAAGTTGAATCGAAGTCCAGGGTCTATACTCTTCAGGTTGCATTTACGATTGCAGCAGGCACCAAACCCGGAAGCCTCAGCTGCAACATCCTAAAGCTTGAGCCCGCCTTCCCCTTGAAGTGTGGTGTTCTTTACGGAGAAAGTTGGAGTTGCAACAAACCCCAACGTACCATCAAGCCAGCAACGCCCCAAAGCCATGTTATGTGACCCCCACGAAACTCAAAACACCAAGCCCCAAGAGACGCTGCATGCAGTGCCATGCATTGCCTTATTTGTTACCACCGCAAATGCACAAAAACCCGCGCGTGCTGCCCTGAGCCCTGACCCTGCTCGGACCAGAGACTCTAAACCAGCATGGAAATTGCAGCGAAGCACTCCCTTCCCGATCCCCCTTCTGCATGTGAAGCCATGGCTGCGTCACAG